GATGACTTTTTTTTTTTTTAAATTAGTTAATTTATCATTTATTTTTGGTTGCACTGGGTCTTTGTGCTGCGCGCGGGGCCTTCTCTAGTTGCGGCGAGCGGGGGGTGCTGTTCATTGAGGTGTGCGGGCTTATTGCAGTAGCTTCGCTTGTTGCAGAGCACGGGCTCTAGGTGCGTGGGCTTCAGTAGTTGTGGCACACGGGCTCAGTAGTTGTGGCTCACAGGCTCTAGAGCGCAGGCTCAGTAGTTGTGGCGCACGGGCTCAGTAGTTGTGGCGCACAGGCTTAGCTGCTTCGCAGCATGTGGAATCTTCCTGGACCAGGGCTCGAACCCGTGTCCCCTGCACTGGCAGGCGGATTCTTAACCACTGCGTCACCAGGGAAGTCCCTGGCTGGTATTTTAAAGAGCAGAAAATATAGGGCTGTTTTTTGCCAAATTGTGCTGTGCGGCCTGTGGGAATCTTAGTTCCCCGACCAGGGATGGAACCCGTGCCCCCTGCATTGCAAGCACAAAGTCTTAACCACTGGACCGCCAGGGAAGTCCCTGTATGAAGACTTTTGGATGCCCACATTCCCACCAGACTCTCGAGCCCACGAGAACAGGAAGCTCTCAGTGGATCTGCTCCCGGCTCCACCCCCAGCACTCAGCAGGGTTCCTGAGACACAGCGGGGGGGGGGGGGGACAGTGTCTCCAGTGCTGGACGGTAGCCCCACAGAGCCGAGGGTCACAGCAGCGGGGAAGCAGCGGCAGGACATTTCTGATAAAAAGCATCTTAAAATACCCTCAAAACTGACGAGGGAATGAGGAGCATCTGCTGACACGTGAGAAAGAGGTAAACGTGGGGTCTTAACTATGGCAACTGTTCAGAGGATGCATCAGGACAACTAGGTCTTTCAATGTCTACTCAGTATCTTTAATCTGAAGGAGGCTTTGGAAGGAGAAATAACACTACTTGGGATTTTCAGGCGTGGAAGATGAGAAGAGGAAGGAGCCGGGTGACCCCACTGCTTCTTTTGCCTTGAACAATGGAGTCGCACCACCGGGGGAAGGAAAGGGCTGGGGTGGAGGGGGGCCCCCTGCTCCATGCTCAGGGCTGGGTGTGTAAAGCCTGGGATGCCAGCCGGACAGCTGCTCAACCCAACACAGATTCTGGACGTCAGTACTGACCACCAAAACCCAAGGCCTCTGAACCGCACACGCTGGTCTGATGAACCCCGAACGCTAAGCTTCATATAAATGTCCCTGCAGGCAGGCAAATCTTTACAGAGTGACAGCAAGGCGAAGGGAGAGTTCAGAGAGCTAGTAAACTGCTCCACCTCCAGGAAAGATACACTCGGTTCTCTCGTAACTTAGGTGGTTAGGTGTGCCAGAGGGCTCTTCCCCAACGGCAAGTTGTCAATCTCAGGATAGGGTTCGATGCGAACAATTACGGTACGACACCGATAAACCTCAGGAAGATCCTGAAGGAATAATTGGATCCATTAGTTTAGTCATTCATTCGACAAATATTTTTCGAGTTTCTGCTACGTGACAGGCGCCGGGGTAGAGACCAGGCACATAACCAGGGACAAGACCACCCTGCGCCAGTGTCCGCCCAGCCAGGAAGGAAAAGGGCTGAGGAGCAAGTACGGTGAGTCCCCTACCTACGAGCCTTCGAGTTGCGAACGTTCAAAGATGCGAACGTGCCCCTGTGTGCCAGCTGTTGCACTGTACTTGTGTACTTTTCAAGGTACTGTAAGATTAAAAACGGTTTCTTTTATTTTTTGTGTTTGTTTTTTATGTATTATTTGTGTGAAAAGTATTATAAACCGATCACAGTACAGTACTATATAGCCGATCGTGTTAGTTGGGTACCTAGGCCAACTTCGCTGGACTTATGAACAAACTGGACTTATAAATGTGCTCTCAGAACAGAACTCGTTCGTATGTAGGGGACTTACTGTAGTTATAACAGAGGTAAACAGACACAGGGTGTGGGGAGTGGGGTGTGTGTGTGTGTGTGTGTGAAGGGCACACCTAGGCCAGACCTGGGAGGTCAAGAAGCAGCGTCTCAACAAGTCAATCTGGAGGAGCTGGAAGAGATCAGCTCAGAATGGGCTGGGCCTGCCCACGGCGAGGAGAAGGACCCATTCCTGCCGGTGGGAAGCCTGGCATCGCCACACTGTGGACACGGGAGAGGTGGCCTGAACCGCAGAGTGGAGGGTGGAGGTTGGGATGGAGAGAAGTGGATGGAATCGAGGACCTTCTGGGGGTAGGACAGCCAGGGCTTGTTGACCCAGTGCTCTGGCGTGAGCAGCTGGGTGGCAGGTGGTGTCGCTCGCCAAGAGAAGGAGACTGTTTCCTCTGGACACACTGGGCTGTTTCAGGTGCCCCTCATCAGCCCAGCGGGGACGTCCAGGAGGATATACAGGCTGACACTCAGGGGCGAGAACCGAACTGAAACAAAGCTCCAAGAGCCACCAGCGTGACCCCTGCTGCACTCCGCTGCCAAGGACCCTGGGTGGCTCTGGGTCAACAGCCTCACGTCACATGTCAACAGCGGTGCTGTGCCAGGCCCTACTCCAGGCGCTAGGCACAGAGCAATCAAGCAAAACTGTCCTCAGAGAGCTTTCACTCTAGCAGGACCAGCAGATAAGGAACAAGAAAACACACAGGTAAATAAAATGTCCCAAACTGTGGCAGGGGTGGTGGTGATGTGCTAGGGCTGACTGGTCACCTCCTCCCGGGCTCCTGGAGCTGGGCCACATGGCCAAAATACCCTTACCATTATTTCCAAGAGCTTCCTCTATTTTCCCAAGATAGCATAAGTTGCTGTTTCTTGAAACCAGAACTTGACACACCCCACCTACATTTCTGGATTCAGCTGGATTGAAGCCTGGAGCACACAGACAGTTAAGGCCCCCCGAGTCTCCCCAGCGGTGTGGCTGACCGTCAGTAAATGCACTGCTATTGACCAGGCCCTTCCTGTAAGCCCCAGCCACACGATTACTTCATCTGAGCGATGAGCGGCCTCCAAAACACAGGTTGAGGGCTCCGAGCTCCATTCCTGTTCTTCAAGTAGCTGTTAGATGTGTCAGACCACAGTGTTTGCAAGAGAGATACCTGGGAGGCGGGTAGAAGTGATCTACGTGGTGTGCAAATGTACTCTGATGAACTCATCATTACAGACAACGTCAAACATTATTCGCCCCCACCACCTGAAATTAAAACTGCCAGCCAAAAATGATAATTACAAAGAATATCACCAACGTAAGGAAAATGCTGATGGGATAACATTAAGTGAAAAAAGCAGACTATAACGATATAGTCATGTTATGATCAGAGTTCCATAAAGATTATGTATGTATATGAATAAGGACCGCTCAGGCAGACGAGTGTGGATGAGAAAAGTGGTCTCGTTTTTGTCTGTAAGAAGTCAAGATGGAAAATAACTGCAGAAGAAGAAACCCAACGAGTCGTTCAAGTGGCTTCCCAGTGGAGAAACCTCACTAAGGGAAAACCCAGAGACAAATCAGACTTTTAAAAAGAGTGTAGGTTATTTAGAAAACGGTAGCTGCAGGCTCTCTGGGTCTTGGGCAAAGGCAAAATAAACCAGGCGCCTTTCAACTAAGTCACCAACACAAAACTAGCACTTGCACAAGAAAATGCAAGTGGGTCCACCAAACTGCCGATGCCTGAGAAAGAGAGCCCTGAACGGTCCATTTATTGTGAAGAAGACTCCACGTGAGCCTCAGCCAGAGTATTCAGGAAACCCCTAGGTGGATACGAAGTCCTGCAGAAAATCAAAGGTGCAGCATTTGGAACTAAGAGCAGGGTAAGCTCATAAGACAGCAGAAGGTTAGAACAAAGACAAATCCTGTCCATCACTAGGCTGTTCCCCTACCTTAGTCCGTGTTACAGATGAGAAAACTGAGGTTCAGAGAGGGAAAAGGGATGTGGCCAAGACCTCACAACAAGGCCCTGGCGGGAGAATCTGGATCTCCCTACCCCCTTGTCCGAAGTGTCTAAGGTACTTTCTGCTGTCCGTAGCTTGGTGTGGCCTCTGTTAACCCCGGCTCCCAGAGGGCACAGCAAAGCCCTCAGTGGACCTGAATTAGAATCCAATACAGAAACCAAGGAGACTTGTTTCTGCTTCGCTTGGTTAAAGCAGTTCTAGTAATATCAGTGTCGCACAGAGGATTCCTAATGAGGGCAAACGCGCAGCTCTAATGGGTGGGGAGGGGAGGGTGGTGGTAACTGGGTTTCCTTGGTCAGCGGAGGATGACATTCAAGTGGCTGATTTTCAGATCTGAGTCTTTTCAGGACTGAGTTGGGACCCATGTGATCGTGTCCATCACCTCCCCACGGATGAGGTGAGTGGACCACCGAGAACAGAGGGTCGATGGGACCCGTGGGCGCTCTATATTCCGCCCCACTTTTCTAGAATGAGGAACGGGGAGCCATTCTCTCTCGGAATGCGTAGCAAGCATTATTAAAATTTTAACTCTTTAGTTCCTTCAAAAGAAAAAACAACCCACATATACCGTAGTTAGATGGGCTACCACTTGCTCTTGGATATTAAGTGAAAGACTTGGCCAGAGGCCACTGATTCCCTGGATGACCTGGCAGGGGAGCCAGGCATTCCAGGTGCCCTATCAGGGCCGTTCCTGAACGTGGGATTCGTCAGCCCAGAATCGTGACTATCCAGGACGTCTGCATAGCGCACACACGGGTTCTCCTTCTCTGTGAAACGTGCAGCATTTTAAACCAAAGCTAAAGGTAGCCCCGCAGGTCTGAGTTTCTGCAGTTCCAAAGGCATCCACTGGAGGCAACTCTATTACTTCAGCAAATACGCATCTGATTTCCATACTCATCCCAAGTCTGGGTTTTGGAGAATTCATATTCCCAGAACTCCCCAGTTTCCTGGGGAAGTTGCCTTAGGGAGGCTGGGAAGAATCAGCCAGAAGCCCACTGACTCACCAGACACAATGCCCACAGGTGGGCTACAAGCGCTGGGCTTACCTGGAACATCAATCAATCTCTTGTAGACATTCAAGAAGGCTGCCTCAGCTTCTTTGCTTCTTTTACTCAGTGCATCAATCTGAAAAGGAATGGGAGAAAGAAAAGAAAAACAAAGAGCTCAAAATTTGTCAAGAGGTAATTTAAAAATCATCACACATCAAATGCAAGTCTGATTGCTCCATGTAAATGCCGGACAGCTGGGCCTTCAACCTCTTAAACGTCTGCAAACATGCGAGAGGGAGGCAACCCACGTGGCCCGCCCGTGAGGGGGAGCGAGGCAGGAGCGGTCCCATGGCTTGACAGAGTGGAGACTCTCCACGGAGAATGTGGTCTCTTTCCTTCTTCCACCAGTGTAGACTACGAGCTGACCACATGCCAGACGCTGTGCCGGAGGCGGGACACAGAGGGACAGCGCTCAGCCCCAGGGGCTCGGCGTCTAGCAGGGGAACAGGTGATGTGAATGACTAGTGGAATCCCAGCTGGGAAAGTGCTCGGTAAGCAGAGCCGTGGGGACACCGAGAAGGGGACGTCAAGCAAGAAAGCAGGTGACATTTGAGCAGAGTCCTCAAGAGCAGCGCACCTGGTGAAGAGGCGACACGAAAGGGGAGGAACACATTCAAACACCAAAGTTCTGAAACTGGGGGTCCTTAGGTCCTCTTTAAGAATTTTATGAAAGCCGGGGCTTCCCTGGTGGCACAGTGGTTAAGAATCCGCCTGCCAATGCAGTGGACACGGGTTCGAGCCCTGGTTCGGGAAGATCCCACATGCCGCGGAGGAACTAAGCCCGTGTGCCGCAACTACTGAGCCCACGTGGCACAACTACTGAAGCCCGCGTGCCTACAGCCCATGCTCCACAACAAGAGAAGCCACTGCAAGGAGAAGCCCTCGCACCGCAGCAAACAGTGGCCCCCACAAACCGCAACTAGAGAAAGCCCGCGTGCAGCAACGGAGACCCAAAGCAGCCAAAAATTAAAGTAAAATAAATTAAAAAAAAAAGAATTTTATGAAAGCTGAGGACCCTCTCCTAGAAACACACACACACAGGGTTACACACTCTAGGACACTCACGTGTCCACGTGCGTTCTGTTCATAGAATCCAGATTAAGAACTGTGGATCGGGCTGTAACCCCAGGGAATGTGGGGCTGCTCGGGGGAGGCGGGGTGGACATGGATACATGGGTGTGAGACTGGACAGGTGAGGGAGTCGGTGCAGGTGGGGGAGGATGACCTTCACCGTCTGGGCCTGAGTCAGAGTGGAAGGAGGACAGGAGGGGCCAGGAAGGAGGTGACCATTCCTAGGTTGTTGCCGCTGCCCTGGTGAGAATGTGCAGGGCAGTGGCGCTGGGGACTGAGGGAAGGAGGCCAAGCAGAGAGATTAGGTCCAGCTGAGCTGATGTGCGACATGGAGGGTCCAGGTGAGTTAAGGACGGTGCCCAGGTTTCTAGCTTCGGCAACGGCGAGTTCCTGTGACGGTGGCCAGGATCAGTGTGTCTCATAAACAAACCCAGCTGAGCTGGTTTCCCTCCAGTGAAAAGTCTCTTCGTCCAAGAAAGGTGACGCGTCCCAAGCAAGCTGGACGCACGTCCAAAGAGGCTTCTGCGGCTGGATGGACTCAGTATGTATTTTGCTCCCATAACATGCGTGCTGAGACAACAGATCACTTTTTACCCCTGAAGCGTGCAAGATGCCACATGCACGGAGTTCACATTGGCTCAGGAAAAGGACACTAAATTATATATTCCTCTGTCCCCTCACGGAATTATACTCTGTCTCCAACGTTATTAAAGAGGCAAAAGGAAGTGGCGTAATTACAGGGCCTCTCACCTGAGCCAACCAACAATTTGTTAAGGGCTGAGAGAGGTCACCTGATTAAGGATGGGAAGACCCTGGGGAGGGGGACACAAAGGCTGTGGGAAGGGGAGCAGGGCAGGTCTCAGGAAATCCAATACAGAGCAAAAAAGGGCAATGCATGCATTTCCAACTTCTACCAAGTTGTGCTGGAAAGTTCCTACTTGAAGTCAGTCGCTGAGAACTCTGCCACGTCCCCCCACCCCCCGATAAAATAAGCTTGTGATTTAGGCATGTTTTCTGAAAAATCCACAAGGACTACTTAAAAACGATAAGATGGCTCTCTATTTTTAAAATGTTTTTTTCTTTTCCCCTCTGATTCTTAGCAGTCCATGCTCATTGTACAATTAGAAATATATCAAAAAATAAAGAGAAAATTAATACCATAATCCTGCCATTCACCAGTGGAAGTCATGCTTCTGTCTCTAGTTCCCTTTAATTCTGAATGAAATGTAGGCGTGTAGGCAAACTATAGAGACGGTAGATTAGTGGTTGTCTAGAGTTGGGGACTGGGAGGATGACGGCTAAGGGGTGTGGGTTTCTTTCTGGGGTGATGAAAAGCTCTACAATTGATCGGGACTGTAGTAAAAGTCAATGAACTGCTGAGTTCAAATGGGTGAATTACATGGTATGTGAGTTACATCTCAATAAAGCTGTCACAAATGTCTGCGTGTATATTTGAAATCAAACCATATGGAAAATTTTGTACTGTGCTTTCATGAACATATAAAGTCTTTCCAAATGTCTATTACAAAATTTGGGAAATGTCTTAATAGCATTATTTCAGCTGTACCTAACCACCACCTACATAGATGTTGCGAGTAAAACTGGGTATTTGGAGTTGCCTTTCCAGACGTCCGGAGCTTTCCCTGCGCTCCGGGCCTTTCTGCCACCTCCTAAGAGAGGTGCCACGGGCAGCAGTCTGCCCAGGAAGCAAGACAGAGGCCCTGGCGGCTCTCTGCGCCTCTCAACACCCAGAGGGTTCTCTGCTCGGCTCCGGATCTGCCTAGGGAGGGCCCCCTGCTCCCTAGGGGTTCTGAGCCCACAAAGGCGGCTGCCTCTAGAGTGGGCAGAGGAGGGGATCTGGAAGGATCCTGAACACTGTCTTCTCTCTCCCTTATTGGCTGTCGAGGGGGGAAGTGGGATCGGCAGTCTACACACACACTTGGGACCGTTGCAGATTGCACTGTGCCCTGCCCCGAAGGTTCTAACCCTCAGTACCTGCGAACGTGGCTTTATTTGGAAATGGGGTCTTGGCAGATGACCAGGTTAAGATGAGGTCCTTAAGGGGAGCCCTAATCCAACAGGACCTGTCCTTCTAAAACGGGGAGATCTGGACACAGAGACAGTCACGCACACAGGAGAAGCCCATGTGAACGTGAAGGCGGCGATTGGGGTGACGCACCTACAAACCAAGGAACGCCAGGGATGGCCAGCAAACCTTCAGAAGCCGGGGGGGG